TGTTGTTCACTCAATCATCCCCACCGAGTCCGTGGTTAACAAGCGGCTGGGCGATCTTCGCCGTTCGATATCCTGTTGGCTCTTGGCCTGTTCTTCTTTTGCCGCGCACTTTTGCGAACCTGAATACACTTAACATACATAAGACGGTTATAACACGCTGTCACGTCTGTCGGCCGTCAACACATCGTTGTTGAACGGAACTATAGTAACAGTTACGAGCAGTGCTGCATAGACTTCAATGTGCTATGTAGCGATTTTGTCTTACTAATCGTTGTGAAGTTGATTATTGTTGTAATAATCAATCAACAGAGCTCCGGGCACGCTAATGCACATTAGTTATGGCTGATTGACGATGATCATTGTTACCGCAGGGGACGTGATACACGTTGAGTCTACACAATGGAATCATCTCTTTCTGTTGGCACCAGTCAACAATCGACACGAATGGTCCTGTAGCATAACAATGGCGAGAACGTCGGCTCAAGCTGGCGGCAAAAATCAAAATGGCGACTCTCCGAGCTTATTTGGCATATTCACATGAAGTGCTTACGGACGTAACACCTCGTTTGTCGCCGTTTAGCTGCCGCAATTCGTTGTTGATACCGGCATTACACTTGCCAGTCATAGTATACGGCACAAACTAAACTATATTTAATGAGTCCTATTAACTGTATTGGGTAAAAAGATCTTGTCATAGGTTTATGAGCCAACAGTTATTTAGCTCAATCACAGACGGTACTTGGCTTCTCAAGTACATGCAAAGAGTGTTTGTTTGTCACGGGCACTGTCATTCTATCGGGCTTTACCTACTACCGTCTTCTGATGTATCACTGACGTTCAAGGAAGCAGGCATCACCGCGTCCTGTATGAGCTATATCTGAGGATTTCGGCAAACTTACCAGGACCTGTAAATAGCCAATTATGTGCAGTGAAAGAAGGTTACGGATAAAGGCAAGGACTTCCGCGGCATACAGAGCCGAAATGACATAGCGGAAGCGATGTTATATTACAAGTGAAATTGCATTTCTAGTTGAATTGTTATTGTGTGCCGCTTGTGGTTCGTTGTGTGTGTTTTTTCAGTCTACAGACAAACATTTTAAAGCTTAGTTATAATTAGTTCTAGTTAGTTGACAAGTATCCCTGCTGGCTTTGATTGCATGGCAGTCTTGATGAACTATATTGTTACGTTTATCTTCGTACCAACATTAACTATAAGCAATCATAACTGAATTTACTTTTGATTATGCACGCGTGGTAAGTTTTATAAAACTTTACGATAGTGTGTGAGCCCCCTCTCAGATCACGTTCATATTTTTGCGTTTTTCTGCCCTTCGCAGATCATCTGGCGTAGTTCCTACGGCGGCCAGAATTAGACGGGACGACCTACCCGGCGCCAAGCGCGGCGAAAAAGGAAAACACTGTAATTTATAGCTCTTGTTCTCAAAGAAATATCTTTTCTATTTCCGCAGGAAGATATTTCCGTCCTCGAATAAGCGCATTGCATTTTCAAGGCCAAGTGCATACATAATCACGTATTTCTATATGAAAGCCTGATGGTTCTAGCACCTATTATAGTTCTGCTAACTCGATATATGTATGACAGGCTCAATACTATTTTTGCCAAGTGCATTGAATACTATTCGCAAAATGTATTGCAGGCCAGCAAGGTATAAATAGCATCTTTTTAGGCGAACACTTTATTGTGAGCGCTGTAGGTGGAATGTAATCAAGGTTCCTAGCAGGGTTCAGGAAACTCTCTCTGTAAATATCTCATAGCTTATTTATTTAAAACAAAGGTTAATGGCAAAGAAGTTTTCAGGCTATGCTCATAAGAAAAGCTCCGTTTTTTGAGTCGTCGACTTCGACTTTACGGTCATAGGTCTCTATAAAGTCCTATCGCTAGTTTGTCATAGTTGCCAGTCTGCGAAGTATTGGTCGATGTTAGACTGACAGCATACGTTGAAAACGAGAAAATTTTGTGTTTTTGTATATCCCTTACATCCAATAATTAGCTTCTTCTGTGAATAAGATGTTATCGTGATTTTAAATAGGTGGAAAAATATCAGCTGCAATAATATAAACTCGAAAAGAAAAAATGAATAATCTATTGAATCTACGCTTCTCCGAGTCAATTCGTCTGTCTGTTTGTCGGATTGCAAAACGATCCCTTTGTAGATCAATCTTTTGTGAGTCAATTCTGGGAAATCCACACGGAAAGTATCCCCAGGGAGAAACTTTACTTTTTCTTATGGAGCGTAATATTAGTTTGATTGGCCCCAAACCGACAGCTGAGAGTTCTTTGTCATCTTATACATCTGGAAAAAGTCTCAATAGCGTTTATAAGCACCGAAGGGCCCATCAGCTTCGTCCGCGCTGATATATCATCAAATGTATAGAAGACTATTTTTCAACTAGTTTATGAAAGAGCCCTGCGTCCTTCAAGATTATAGCCAATTAACTAAGACGAAACAATGATAGTCGGGATATATATATTATAACGATCGGGGCGTGAAGAAAGTAGAAGAAGCTGCTGAAACGGTAGGAAGGGTAAATTAGTTGCGAGGAGCAAATCGTAAAAGACAACAAATTTCCGGGCAGTATGAGTCAGCATAAGAAACCTGTAATCGATATTCAAAATGACGGATATCGTTGAATAAACTAACACGTTAAACGTGGTGGCAGAATAATGGGCTAGGTGAGCAGGGTAACTATAGCAGAGTGACTTTTGGTCTATACTATAGCTTGCATTCAGTTCTTTACGCTTATACATATATAAAATAATAGAATAACCACTCACTAATCACCGCTAACACAGCCAATTTATACATGGTAGAAAATTTTACTTGAAAAAATCCTTTTTGCACGCGTCGTTGAATAATACAGCCCTCGTGTCTAGATAAGAATGATGAGTATTAAGTTAATCGAACGTATATGAGCCTCGTTGAGTGAAGCTGTAACTTTAGATAGTTTGTAAAGAAAAATGAGGTATAACGCATATAGAAGGGAGCTTAGGTGGCAACAAAATCAAACTTGACTTTTAATTTATTCGAATAATATAGAACTGCGCGTATCCTACCTTGGAGAGTAAACTTCTAAGCTGGACTTAAAGCAGACGTATGGATGCTACAAAACTGATCCCCTACGACACAGCTCGGTCACATGACTACAGTGATAAATAAAGGCCTTGAAAGGAAAAGCTGCAGCTCCGAGTTACGGGGAAACGATACAACGCCAGGACGCCAGAAAATGCAACTCTTGCTTCAGTCACTGGAAACACCTTAGGAACATTACCAGTAAATTTATTCAAAAATTATACAAAACAGCGATGTTTGCAGGCGCCGTCGCTAACTGATAAGGACTTGCAAACTTTTGAATGCTACTCTTCAGATCGCGTTATGCGAGCCTTGATTCTACCGTTTTCGATATTTTTTCCTATCATACTGTGAGATAAATCCTTAAATAAGCCATCGCCCGAACTACTGGGAAATAGCTAGTTTACATTTTTAAATAACTAGATAGCGTAATAAACAACAACCAATTTATGGATACAGTGCTTTAAAGTTCCTTAGAGAACACTGTTGACGGCCCCGTGACAGCGTAATGTGTAGCGTGTCTGTCTGCTAATCCTAGGGACACATCCTGATCTAAATTCGAACCCGGGCATAGATAGATGTCTAGTGCTGATAGCGGATATAAAGCTGGAAACATAGAGGAGCCGAGTATTTAGTACGTTGGTGAAGTAAACAATAGTAAAAACAACGATCACTACAGATATATCCTTACTAGCCCGTAACTATTAGACAAGCCCTACATATTGAACTGAGCTGCGTCAGCGTATAAAAGGGGTGTGCGCATGTTAGTTCTGTGAGCAGACGACGTTGCGCTGACGTCACACAATATCGGCGTTTGAAGCGTTAAGCGATTTTAAAGCCGCCAATAGTGTAGGCCACCATTATGACGTGAATCTTTTACTTTATAGGAAAAAAAAACCTGAACATTCATTTGCTTTGTAGCGCATATCTGCGCTATAAAATAGGCTCTAAGGGAATGCTTGTTATAAATGCTATGTCGTAGGTGACCATCTTACGAGAGTATATGAGCGAGATGAGTCACCATTGCACCAATCAACTTCTTTTCTGACTACTAGTTCAGGTAAACTTATTATTTCAACTTATTAAAATAATAGTAGTAGATATTTTTACTAAAAAGCAAAGTTAAATTATTTGACCCATCTAACTCATGCCACCTATAACTAATCTGCAAACAGAATGATTTGATGAAATAAAACCAGAATATTCGACTACGTCAGCGTAAAACTGAGATCAAACGAAAGATTTTAACAGTTCTAGAAATCTAAAACGTGGATACGTACATTGGAATTGATAATTTTACGTTTTTTTCGCTTTGCATTAAAAATAACGACGTTCAGCGATTTCTTAGATAAAGGTAACAATAACTGTTTACTTCGTAGGGAATAATCTTGTCATCTTGATTATGCTGCATTTGTACGAATAAGCTTGATGACAATCAGGGAAAAGTATGATTTGCTACAACTCGATACTGTGTTTTATCAAGATTGCTGCAAAACCGCCAATATAGAACGAACGCTTGGTCCTCTAAGCGTCAGCCAGTAGATGATTTATCTTGAAGTGATGCAAGCTATCAGTATGATTATATATGGCATCTTTATGAAGAAGTAGAACAATTGAACCAAGAATTAAAAATCACAAGCTCAATTTGGTTGACTTATAGTTGCAATATATTTGCCATTTCTTTTTATGAATAATTAATTATTAACAACACAGAGAAGGCTTTATTATCATAGAGTAGGGCAACGACGTATCCTTGGAGGCCGTTCGCCTCATTCCTCCATTACATATATATAT